AATCTGCGGCGCGCCCCTCGCGGTGCGGCGGGCGGGCGGGGCCAGCAGCGGGCGGCGCCGCCGCGGCCTGGCCGGGTCCTGGCCGCACCATCCCCCTTCCTAAAGCTTTAATTCCGGCTTTAAGCACCAAAATCCCCTGTCTGGTAACAGAAACGTGCACCGAGAAGGACGACGGTGGCTTAACGCGAGCATTGAATTCCGCCTCCCCTCCTCCTCCGTTCCTGGCGCGCGAGCTGAAGAAGCCCCAAGTGAAAACAGATTTGAAACCTCACTCGGGTATAAAAATATACCAGCACCCCTTAAAAAAAAAAAAAAAAAGAAAAAAAAAAAGAGACGTCAACGCCCACCACATGGCATGCATGCGAACTGCAGAGAGTCGCAGAGCAGTCAAATACCACCCTTCTTTCTACGTGCATATCACTCCCCCCGTGCAAACTTTAAATAAGGTTCCCTTTTGTAGAGAAGATTTCTATTTTAACGTTACTTTATTGTACACAGAAGATTACTCTAGCAGGGTGGAACCCACTACCACATCATACACAGCTGATCCACGGCCAAACAAGGAGTAAAAGAATTGGCTGCTGTGTCCTCCCCGACTACAAGGGGAGGAGAATATTTGCATGCCGTGAGTTACTTGAAGGCTATAGCCTACCACAGTATAAAATCACAGTAAAAAACGTTACAGATTACCAAATACACTACAGCAAGAGTAAGCGGATTTGGTTATGTTGCAGCACCCTTGTTCTTGGTTGTGTAGCGGAGCAGTTTAACGTCCAACATCTGGACTGCTCAGAGTTCTCAGCAAACAGGAATGAGTACCAAAAGGTAAATAATTGTGTGTCCGTCTAGGAGGAAACACTACACAAACGTCAGCCAACTACTCTACTGAAAATTCTCCAAAACATAGTAAAGTGCTCTGAGCCAGCAGAATTCCAAAATTACACTCTTCTTTTTAATGAGAAACCGTACATCGTTTCCTGATTTTCACTGAGATGGTGGAGAAATAAGAAAGCTGTTGAGAATCTACAGACAGAATCGGACTGTGTAAACTATTAATACCTAGCTATTCTTATGGAATAGCTAACAAACCATCATCCAGTAGCAGGGCTACAATCATCCCAGCAAAAAGGATATTGCACAAATTAGTTACATGAATAAGTATAAAATAATTAAAAATAGGAAATTATAAGTAATGACAATTCAGGAGAGGCAGAATTTACAAGGCACGCATAAGGAGCTGGGCTTTAAGAACAGATTGTGTAGTAAGAGAGAAATCCAACAAATCGCATGTTACAGAAGCGGTGGTTAAACTATTCTCTTTACATAAGAGCAAATGAGGTATGAAAATCTCTTATGAGAATATCCTATAGCTACAGAATCAACTTACCACTCAAGCGTATTGAGACTCTCCTCGTGCGTTTTGTCTTGATACTCCTGCTCCAGTAAAAATAGCACAGAGAAACTTTGCGCCCCCAAGATACAAGAATCAACCTAGTCCAGTCCAAATGCTGGCCCCCCCTTCCTTTCCCCCCCCCCATCTAGAATTGTACAAAGGGAGGAAGTTTGTACTTAGAAAAAAGGTGGGGCAAGGGGGAGCACAAAATAGTTCACAAGGCAAAACGATGTCCTTTCATATAGAATCCATACTGTAGAGAGCAATCACATCCTGTCTGCAAGCGCTAAGACCTGAAAAACATTTTCATTATACCTGTGTGAAGCACGGACAGCATGAACAGACCCAGACCTTTTTAGTTTTCTCTGAAAACATCCACAGATGTAACGTTATCACAGCTGCAGAACTTCTTTCCTTTGTCTCCTTTATATCCTCTGTTAGATTTTTTTTTTTTGCATGAAATTGTACATTAATCATAACACATTTTAAAACAATTCTTTATTCTTCCTGTCAAGCTGGGGAGCAGTAGGAAAGAATACACAAAACTGATTCAGTGGAGGTAAGAAAAAAAAGGTAACAAAATATTTTTGGACATTTATTTAGAAAATGTATGTTCTAGAAAATCCAATGATCCAGAAAGCCTGCTCCTGTGCACTGCTTCAAGGGGCAAGCAAAACGTGTAAGAGTCATTTAGGTCCTTGATATCCTTAGGAGACCACGGATACGTCTGACAAGAGCTTGAATAAAGGTGTAGCGTGAGCGAACCTTAGAATACAATCCTTCTATGTCCAGGAGCTTCTTCTGCAGAGATTCCCCAAAGCTGTTGGTGGCTTCAATCTGAAGCTGAGAAACAGAGATTTGCTGCAGTCAACAATACAAACTCTTCCATTTCTAAAATGTCCTCTTATCCATCATCAGCTACCTGTCAACCCCTTTACCTTGTGTTATTCTTTCAACCACTTTCAAAAGCGTTTGTTTTTCTGTCTCCCTTAATAAATATTTCTTGCATTCCTCTCTTAGGTTTCTTTCTTAAATTATATAATGAAGAGCATTTCTATGGATGTTTTGGGGTCACTCAAAGCATTTAGGGATTATCCACATTTTACAGCTTTACAGCCTCTGCAAGTATTTGAGGAATTGAACAGTCTTACATAATTCTATGTTTTCAGTTACAGTCATTCCCATCAAAGTTTTCCTAGTCCTTTAAGGACTTTTTAGTAGGAGTCCATGATCTCAGATAACATTTTTTCATTAATATATATGTAAACAACTACTGAAAAAATTAATCATATTCTAGGTATTTTAGCAAGATGTTATTATACATTTTACTTTAGAACAAATGAAATAAAGGCGGAAGCTTCATCATAAAAAACACATACATCTGGTTTTACAATTCTAGATATTAATAACGATACTTGAGACTAAACAGGTTTTTGAGCACAGCTTTTTTTGTGCACAAATAGCAGTAGAAATGTCAGTACCTTCCAAAAATGACGTTTATTAATAAAAATGATTCTTTTTTTCTGCTGGCTGTAGCTAATTAACATAAACTATGCAACTGCTGGGTAAGCAGAAATCACTTTTTTTTTTTTGGCATTCACAATTTATAGTCTCCTCAGTTTCTGTCACCCTTTTCAATCTCCTCTCCCTACAGCCTATCTGCATCTGACCTAAAGTAAACATATACAAACTCAGAGAAAATTGGAAATCCTACCCTCGAACTGTAAGTCTTTCACGGATAACTGATGATTTCAGAAAGCCATTATTAAAAAATACACATCATTTAATTAGTCTACAAGAAAATAAGTACGATTAATAGCATTTGTAATACTCGGGCTTATCTTTCATTTAAGATAGTTTTGTATATTAAGACTCGAAAATATGCGCGTAGCAGCGCAGCTGCTGTTTCATAAGCCCTTCAAAAAAACGTTGCAACACTTCACTAGTCCTTCCCTAGCCGTACAACAAATTATTTACCATTGGGATTACCGAAGATTGTTTAGAGATGGGAAAACTACAGTCAGACAGCTCTCGGTAGCTGTATGATAATCAAGTGCCTTCTGTACTTCCCAGAAGACTGTTACTTCTCACCTGATCTATATCATGCTGGCTCACTCGATTCAGTCCACTGCTGAAATCCAAGTTAGGCTCTGAACCAAAAGAGTCTAGTGGTAGAAAATGAGAAATTGAGATATAAGAAATTATATCGGCTATTCAACATCATATTCACCACATCAAGTTATAAAAAGAATTTAAAACATAGCATTCCACAATTTCAGAAACGAAGCTCCCCCCCCC